ACAAANTATGTTAAATAACACAAAAATATGCACACAGAAATATAAAGTTCATTTTTTGTGACAAAGTTTCTGGCTCTTCTGAAATTCTTGTTTTTGTGATAAAGTCTTGTAGTTTCATTCATCGCTTTCTTTTTCTTTCCTTAAGCAAATGCCGGTATCAGGAGATTGCATCCAAAACACCTGATCTTGCTTTTCCATTCCTTTCAAAATCTGGATCATTCGCTACAATTTGATCAATGATTTTGGTTATCGTTATCAAACTTTTACTAAGGAAATCTGTAGAGAAATTCTTTGGGTTCTTTGTTTTCAGAATCACTATTTTCCAGTTCTACATGAATTCCTTGTTCTGCTAGTTCTTGAAGGTCATCATTGGTAAGGTTTTCACCAGAAACCTGCAGTAACTCCTCAATATCCTGCTTGTCCAGCTGTATCAATTAGGTTGACAATATGGTCAACCTAATGATACAATGATAGACTCTTCTCGTTGAGAATTCTTAGATACCTTCAGCCATAACTTCTTCCATACTTCTTTCATGCATTCATTTCATGCATTTATTAATTCTTGCCAAGCCAAGTTGATATTGCCTATGGCATCCATGATGTTACATTCTTTTCCAAAATTGCACCAAACAAACCTAGATATAAGGGAAGTACAATGCTAAGACGAATTGCCACCTTTTGCTGATTGGTTTATGTTTAGGAATAATCGTAATATATATGAATAAATAAAATCCGCATTAATTTGAATCTGCGTAAATTTTGTGCTTTTTTAGGCTTTGAGTAGATTACGTTATATCGAATCAGCGTTAAATGAGGCAGCATTAAGCGGGGTCTTACTGTATTTTCATTTCATTTGATTGCAAGGTTTTTATTTATGTTAATTATAGCTTGAAAAGTGTATCTTCTGTTTATTTTTCTTTATTGCATATTTACTAGCAATATCTGAATAACTGTTTACATTTCTAAAACAGTGTATGAAAGCATTAATAATTTCACAAAGGCATAGAATTTTATATCTTATGTATCCTTTTATTTAAATAAACTAATGAACTGGTGTTAAAATAAAAATAAATAATTTTAAAATTTATCTCATGAAGCTGCTTATTTGGAGTTGCAAAATGTTTTAAATTATTTAAATTGATGGAAATGAACTGAAATTTCATTTCTTCTTCCACTTTGCTATTCTTTTTCTTGTTGATGAAATATTTGCAAATCATTCTTTTTGTGAATAATATCATTACTTTTAAATCTTATCACAACATTGTATATGTTTTTATACTTGTCCTGCTCACACTATAATAAAACATTCATTTGAATGTTTGAAGTAATTAATAAGTTTTACAAAAAAACAAAATGAAAGAAAGTTATGAATAAGTAATAGAAACATTACTTTTTCATTAATGTATCCATTATTTGTTATCCACTCTGGGGGACCCGGAATCGAATCCAGACAGGTTGAAAAATCCCCAGGAATTTTTCGGGGTGGTCCGTTTGGATATGTTGGGCCTTGTCACTCACCACCTGGCAGCCCCATTGTGGGCCTGGCCAAACTCACAATTGGCTTGCTAAAATGAGGCCCTCTTAGTGCCCACAGGGTGGAAAAAGTTTTAAAAAAAATCTGTCAATATTGGATTTTAGATTTAATTTCTGAATCTATAATCTATATATATAAAATTGCTTGTCCTGACTGAATGACTCACTCACTGATTTATCATTGCCCAAAGCAAACTGCTGAACCTAAAGAGGTGAAATTTGGTACACAGTTAGGGTATGTCATGAAAACGCACACTAAGAAGGGATTTTTCAAAATTCCCCCGTGGGGGGAGAGGGAGAGCATTAAGGCTTAACCAGAAGAATGGCTTCTACTGTACTATTTTAGATGTGATTTTTTGTTTTTGACTACATTTTAGTAGGGTATGCCATGGCAATGCACACTAAGAAGGGATTTTACGAAATTCTCCCTCGGGGGAAGAGGGAGAGGATTGTCTTCATCGAGTACTTAGGTGTATTAAATTAATAACATTTCAGACATTGTTATAAATATTTTTATCTATTTCGATTTTAAAAATGTTTGAACCGTTTTAAATTTGAATTTGTTATTGCATATTGGTTCGATTATAGAACGATTGTAAACATTCCAGAAAATTGATCAAATTGAAAATAGTTTGTTTGAATCTTGGCAATTTTCATCATTCTCAGCGGTTGGTGTTATAAAACAGTTACTATGGTGGTTGAAATACTGAATATAAATGCGGTTTGCTTGCAAAATCCTCGCGGACGAAGTTGTGGGTAACACCTAGTTTCTATATTACTTTATATTTGTGATAAAATCTAGATACAGATTACCGTACAGATTATTTGTATAGTTTTGAATCTAAAAACAGATGAAAATTTTTCATCTGTTTTTTTGTATTGTATTTGTATTTATCAAATTATAATTAGTATTTATCTGTATCTATATTTTGTACTCAAGAACATTGCTCAAAATAGTGACATTAATACATTGCAGTTATATTTGTATTCCATAATAGCATAGATAAGTTATGCATCCTTTTTGGGTTTACAGGCTAGCCTGTCTGTTTTGGACTCAATCTATCTTTTCCATGGATGTCCTTTGTTTTAATTTCCATTCTTTTGGGTTGTAGTTTAGTATTATTTTTGGAATTCACTCTCAGTTCATTCTCTGTATATATTCAAGCCATTTTCGTATGTAGTTTTCTATAGTATGGATTAGTGAATTTACTTTTAGCATAAAAATGTTCTAGAAAATATTGATGAAGGGTGGAGAGAAGCTATGGTAACTAACATGAGAGCTGTTTGACAAAATCTATTCTTGAATATGCAAATGATTTATAAGAATTTGACTCTGAAATTAACAACAGTGGGAAGGTATTATACAACTCAGATCTAATGTTAACTAAATGGATTAGGAAAATGTTCAAGAACTACTCCAGTCTCATGATAATGACCTTATTGATGAAGAACTTATTAATCAGGATGCAGAACTCACCTAAGAAGCTCAGAGTAATAGCATTGGAAATGATGAAATTAAGACAACAACAAAGTTTTGCTGTATTTTAATAATATAAGTGGAAAATGTAAGAAATGCTTCAATATCTATGAAGGCAAATTAATTTACTTAAGCTGTCTTATTCCTTATTGCTTATCTATAAAAACTCATTTTTGAAATATTTTTAATTAAAAAATAATATAAGTCATTTCATTTTATTAAATTTATTATTTAATTTTGACAATAATTTATCAGAGAAACAATTCATAATTCATTAAAATTGTGAATATTGTAAAGTAGTCAAGATATGTAAATAGATCCAAAAAGAAGAAATTTTTAATTGCAATACTTTCTTGAAGCAAATAATTCTTAAATCAGAATATTTTATTCTTTAGTTATTGAGAAAATCACAAATCATTAATTGCTGGAGGTATCAAGATTGATAGCAGTGTCATTAATAATTTAACATAAATTGTCTAAATTTCATTATTTTGTGATGTTTGTATATATAATTGTCTACTTAATTTATGAAAACTGTATTTAAATTATATATGATTAAGTAAAAATTAAAGATGTAAATCAGGTATTAATTAATATTTGTATTCATATACTATATGTTTATACAGTGAAACCTCCATTAATGGACACTCCTGAATAGCAGATACCTCTATTTAATTAATGGACATTTCTACAATCCCAGAGCCTTCAAATAGGCATCTATTATATTCACCTCTAAATAACGGATGCCATCATCCATAACCTACCTTACGAAAACACAAAGAATCAGTTCAAATATGTTTTCAAGGAATGAATTTTGACTGTAGGTGTCAAATAAAGACTGACTAAAAATAGGTGTAGGGGAGGGCAGATTGTAAAAACCAAACGATATTCATTATCTGTTAGAGAAGACTAATCTGGTTAAGTTGTCAATCACCATTTATTGTCATACATATTAATGTTATTAAACTTCTGTCATATTGTTGGAATTAAGCTTACAATACCAAGAAACCATTAGCTTTTCTGAAGTTATTCATTCGACAAGAACCATAGTACAGTAGTAACGAAAGAGAGTTTTAAGGTTAAGACAGCATTTGTTTGGTGGAAGTTCAAAGATTGTGTTATGAAGGCAAATTGCCATCCACTTTAAAGTGTAGGAAGCTATTCAGTTTTCTCACATTTATGATCTTAACAGCTTTGTTGTGGCTAAAGTAATTTTTAATAAATCATTTATTGAAGAAAGCAAAAATGTTTGAAAAATTACACTTATTCAATAACTACAAAGTAGACAAATCACTTTATGAATTTTTATTAGTCACTTATTTATGATCTAACATAAATGACATTACAAATGCAAGAATACAAAATACATTTCTTACCCCTTGAAGTGGCTAGCAAATTGCCTCTGTAACTTGATATTCAAACTCCCGTCGCCTAAACCGACCTTCTCCACCCTTCTGTTTACAATAACAGTTTCAGTTTTCTTTTTCATTACTTCTGCTCAGGTCATTTTTGACAAATTAATAATTAATCAACGTTTACATTTTGTTGTAATTTTTATGTTCCATTTAATTAAAGTATCCTATACAATTTATTTGCTATTTAAAATTCAAATAAATTGTGATTTTTACAGCTGAAAAGTTAAATAATATAAAGTAATATACTGTATGTATATTTTAATTATGTATTCTTCATATACTTTTTGGTATTTTCACATTCCTAACACAAATTTGATGTTTTTGTAATCCATCGTATTCTTTATTCTTTACTTTATAATGACCAGGTTAAAATACAATATGGCTGCTGGCATGTACCTCTAAATAGTGGGCAAACTTCTTTGTCCCAACGGTGTCTGCTATTCAGAGGTTATACTGTATCTAGGTTGATTTGCATTTTAATTTCAAAAATTTTTTGTATTTTAGTGAAATTATGCATAGCATTATTACTGATAAAAATTATCCTTAATTTTACATAAAATATTTTCTTTTTGAAGACACCGATATGATTACATGAATCATGCAAGGAAGTTGGCTGAGAATACATGGTCTTCTGAAAGTGAAGATGATGATGAAATGGATTGGAGTTCTGAAGTGAAGAAGCCATCACATTCTTACAAAAATCAAGTATAATTCTATTTTTCTGAAATATATTTTCTTGATAATCTGAATATTTAAATTCTTGAAATAAAATTATTTTAAATTATTTATGTTATATTTTTAATTATTTCGTCCGATGGTTCTTTTTCTTTAATATTTTCTTTTTTATTTATGTTATAGTTAATGTTGTCTGAATGGCTTGTAGAAGTGCCAGAAGATTTATTAAATAAATGGTTGCTAGTTTTATGTCCTGTTGGAAAACGGTCTTTAATAATAACTTCACATGTGAGTATAACTTACTTTTAAAATTAAAAAATTAGTAATAAATATTAAATCAAAAAACATGTTATGCAGATTTTGAAATTAATTCTGTTAGAAAATGACAAACAGATTAAGTTCATACAACATACAAACAAATGTAAACTTAAATCAGTAGAATTTATTTATTAGATAAGTGAACTTAAATTTTTGGCATTTGAGAGATGGAAGAAATTTCATTTAATGTCTTTTGTCAATTTAAATTTCTTTTAAAAAAATAATTTAAGAACTTTGTTTTCAGAAAAATATTTTTGAATCCTAAATGTCTTCTTCAATTTTATAATAAATTTTATAATAAAAGAATTCAGAATAGCATAATCTGAATTTCTGGAGATAATGAATTCTTTAAAATTATACTTGTATTTTAAAGAATGCAGCATATGAATTTATTTACTATAAAATATATAGATACAATGAACTGAAAACTGTATAATTTTTAATCTTCTGAAACCGTGTTTACTCAATTTCTTTGATATTTAGTTGATACTAAATAAAGATGGAATATCGCCAAGTGTTGAAATTGTAACACATCTTGTGTTAAGTGAATCCAAAAAAAAAAAAAAAACTGTATAATTTGTAACTTCTAATATATACAGTGGTACCTCAGGTTAAGAAAGCCCCAGCATACGAAATTTTCAGGATACGACATAAAATTTGAACATATTTTTGCTCCACGATACGAACAAAAACTCACCATACGACGTTACATTAGTTCGCATTTTTCATTTGTTTTTCTTACTACAGTTATTTTTTTAAATGTATTACTTGGCTTTAATTTGAGTATGTTTTTCGCGTTGGAACGAATTATTTGGTTTTACATGTAATCGTATGGGAAAAGATGATCCACCTTACGACATTTTCATGATACGATCTCAGTTTCGGAACGGATTAATTTCGTATCCTGAGGTACCACTGTATTTAAACTACAGTAGAACCTTGATTATCCGCCCCCCGATCAACCGACCCCTCGGTTAACCGACCGTCTTAGTCGGCAAATTTCAAATGTCCGCTAGTGATGTGGCGCTACAATATTTGGCTATGTCTTGGCTACTTTAATATTATTTTTACGTGTTTTAGCTGGCAACACTCATTCGACCATGAAAGGGAGCCAGTATTTAAACGAAGCTTAATTTTCTAATTTTTAACGATACAATAGCGACGATTATTATTTTAAAAAATTTTTGTTAGGCTTAACATCGATGAAAATTCAACGCAAAAATAGGTTAATAGCGATATACTAATATACTAATTACATGGGATATAATAATATACTACACTAATAATGGATTTTTTCATACTTTTTGGTTATCCGACCAACCCCAGTCCCCAATTTAGGGCGGATAATCGAGGTTCTACTGTAGCTGTTACCCGAAACTTCATCTGCAGAGGTTTTGCAAGCAAACCCCATTTACATTCAATATTTCAATAACCATAGTAATTGTTATATAACACCTACTGCTGAGAATCAAATGAACTATTTTCAATTTGATTAATTTTCTGGAATGTTTACAATCGTTCTATAATTGGATCAATATGCAATAACAAATTCGAATTTAAAACGGTTCGGACATTTTTAAAATCGAAATAGATAAAAATATTTATAACAATGTCTGAAATGTTATCAATTTAATAAACCGAAGTACTCAATGAAGACTAAACGTAGTTGAAAACAAAAAATCGCATCTAAAATAGTATAGTAGAAGCCGTTCTTCTGGTTAAGCCTTAATCCTCTCCCTTTCCCCCCGCGGGGGAATTTCAGAAAATCCCTTCTTAGTGTGCATTGCCATGGCATACCTACTAAAACGCAGATATAAACAAAAAATTGCATCTAAAATAGTAAGTAGAAGCCATTCTTCTGGTTAAGCCTTAATGCTCTCCCTCTCCCCCCGTGGGGAATTTCAAAAATCCCTTCTTAGTGTGCATTTCCATGACGTACTCTAACTGTCTACCAAATTTCATCTCTTTAGATTAAGCGGTCTGCTCTGGGCGATGATGGATCAGTGAGTCATTCATTCATTCAGTCAGTCAGTCAGGACAAGCAATTTTATATATTTAGATAAGCAATGTAAAGCAGAAAAAATTTTAAAACATTTAACTGAAAAAGTGTGAAAATTTATTAATGGATTTATTTAAAATAAATTGGTCTATTATATATTTACATTATTTAAGTTTGAATACTAACTATATTCAAACTTAACAGTAGTATTTAATAAAATAAATGAACTATTGTACTGTATTTACTTGAATGTAAGATGCACCTTTATTTATACTTGATTGCCACCATTTCTTTCTTTATTTATTTTTTTTTTTAAATTAACAGACAACTTAAAACAATTTTGTTAACAGAATCAATATTGTTGACATAAATTTATTCAGTATATATTGCATAGTAAAGTAAGTTATATATCACTGTTTTCCATGGCATCAAAGTTGGAAACCTCTTCATTTTTCATGTTAGATGTTTTCTCTGAATTAACAGTGGATTCCATGCTGACATCTTCCCCACACAAACATCATCAATGCCATATGAAGCATCAGAAATGCAACATTTCTTGAAAGAGTGTCATCCCCAAGTACTTATGACATTACTGTAGTAAGTTAACAAGATTGTTCCAAGTTTAGCTCTTAACTATTTGCTATTGTGAATATTGGTCTAATAAAAATCATTAAAATGACACAATAGAATCAGTGACTTCTAGTGACAGAGAAATAAAACACATGGCGCTAGAGGTTGCTAATTATCACATATGTCAGCAAATCTAAAATTTTCAGAAAGATTAAAACCTGAAAAAAATGCATCTTAAATTTGAGAAAATATTGGAGAATTAAAATAATTAATTAATCAAGAATTAAAACAAAACATACTAATTAAAAAGGCTGGAAAGATTTTCTGATCTAATAAGATTTAAAATATAAAATGTGTGTGATTGTTTTTTTCTTATCTCAACCAAAAATGAATTAATTTTTTTAGTTTACTTTGATATGTAGAAAAGATTATCTACCAATAAATTTAGTAATACATAAAATTAAAAAATGGTAAATATCAGTATTTGTTATTACTAATTTCAATATTAACCAAAATTTTCAAAAGCAATGACTTCTGATAAATTTATTAATTTTATTTATAATGAGAAAAAATATCCAACTAAATTAAAAAATTTATTTCTAATAATTTCCTGTTTTTTTTTTATATTTTAGTAGATTAGACATTTTAATAGATTTATTTATTGAATGATTATTATTTGATAATATTATTAAAGTAATTCAATTTTTTAATTATGATTATATAGGGAGAAACTAAAGTTTATACAAAGAAAGGCTTTCTGCTTAATAAATTTTCATCACATCTTCCAGGTGGTAACCGTAGACAAAAATTTAATTCTTCAGGTATTATTTTTAATTTTATTTAGATAAATAACCAGCAGCAGTATAAAATATTATCTACAACTTTATTCAGCAGTTAATAAAATATAACTAATTTTTTTATTTATTACTTTGTTAAAGTTTTTTATTTATATTGAATATCTTTTAAAAAATCACTGAAGTTATTAATATATTTTTTTTATTAAAAGAAATAAAGATTTTAGTTTGTTTTAAAGATTTTATATAACCAATCTTTCAAAACAGTTTTTCACATAGACACAATATAGTCATTCATTGGTCATACATTATCATAAGCATAAACGTGTATGGAAAAACATCCAATGAACTACAGTGGAAACTGGTTTTATGATTAGTCATTTAAACCTGATTGTTACTTGAATGATTAATCATTCAAGTAACAACCAGGTTTTTAAAGAATCAGTTTTTTCTCTCCATTGTTTATTCATTAACATAATTAAAATTACAAAGGTAATAACCAGTACTGCCATTTCTAGGGTAATTTCAACCTCTCAGGGTACTGTTTAGGGTAGTTGTATATTTAGGGTAAATCTAGGGTAAACTGCTCTGTGATCTGATGGTTTTATTGTAAAAATTTTTATTGTACACTTGTAAAAGAAATTCAGTAATGACATTTTTCCATATCTGCTTTTGCTTGAACCTGAAAATTCGCAAAATTTAACAGTGAGGCGTTTGGAGTCATTGTTTAAAATGTTTAAAAATGTTAAGGTTGATTTACAAGTTGTAGACAATGAATGGCATAAACAAGCTCTATTTAACTTGCAGTCAAAAAGTCATACTGTCAGATCCTACTTGTCAGAAATATTTCATTTAAAAAATGCTGCTGGAGAGTTTGTTTCAAAATCTTGAAAACTTGTTGACTTTATTGATGATATTACCAGCTTCCAATGCATCTGTGGAGCGAATATTTACTCAGCTACATTTGTGTAAGACATTGCACAGACATTCCTTTAAAACTGAAACAATTTGTAACTTAATGCATACACAGTCTGGTATTAAAAAAATATTGTTTTATTTGAACCTTTAAGACGAATGTTAAAATGCAAATATATATGTAAATAAATGAATTTTTTAAACTGATCATTTACATATCAAAGTATGTTTGAAATCAAGTGAATGGCTTATTTAATTTTCTATCTTCAGCTAAGATACACAACACATGTTCAAAGTGAATTAATTAAAATTTTAATAATTGCATTCATTAGACTTATGGAAATTTTTTATGATTATTTAAAGACCAGGCAAGATTTTTCTCATTTGTCAAATTGGGATTACCAAACTAAAACATCAAATATCTCTATATCAGATGTAAATTAATACCTCTGATAAAGCCTAAAAATCTTAAGACATTTTAGTTATTAAGATTTTTAAAAACAATGAATTAAGAATTGTTCTGATTATTATTTTACAATAATAGTACAGGGATCTGCATCATAGAATCGTTCTTCTTATTTTTTTTTTAATCCAATCATGAGTTTGATGATGGTCGTTTTCTCAATCTAGGGTAAAACAAAGGTGCCGTCAGGGTAGTTCCACCAGAAGCAGGCAGCAGCACTGGTAATAACTAAGTCATCAATGAAGTAATTTCAAAAAGCAATTAAAAATTTATGTATAAATGTTTTTTAATTAATGTTTTAGCTGGTCTAGTCATTTTAGAACAGTGATTAAATATATAAGAGTGTTTCATTTTCACTTAACTAGATATGATGATTAATATATATTGAGGTAATTTATATACAATTCTTTGTCTAGCTATTAATGTATTAGTACAACAAATAAAATGTCCAAACATATATTGTACTAAGGGTACATTATCTAAAATTTTACATATCCACCAGCATTTCTGATGCCTTTCTGGAAACAATCCGCAATAAGGACTGTCAACTGCAACATTTTAGCTGATATATGTGGCATTCCTCATGAATGGCAGCTTCTAATGTATCCAAGTTGCAAAGTTTTCACTGATACACCTTCTTGAGATATCCTCAGCAAAATAAATCCATGGGCATCAAATCTGGGCTCCTTCCTGGCCACTCAACATCATCTGTGTGTCTGGTGACAATATTTGGCCACATTGTATCAAGCTATTCTTTTGTGGTTACAGCAAAATGGGGTGGTACCATATCCTGCATGAAATAATCTATGTGATTATGATAGGGAACATGAATGTCTTTAACATGTTCAAATAATATTCTTCATTCATTACTTTTATGAGGATCTAAGGACTAAGAAGAATGAAATTCTTAATCTCACACCACATGCACACTGACAGCCATGACTGCAACTTTCAGTAACAAATTGCAGATCTTTATCACTGGGAGCTGAATAATGATAGTTACACTGATTTATATACACACCCATTTAAACGTGGTTTCATCAGACCAGATTATTCCTGGAGGTTAGTTGGCTCATCTTTATCCAACTAATCATGGATTCGGAAAATTTAATTTATGTCACAGGCCTCTCATGAAAGACTTTGAGTGTAATGTGTAATGCAGTTTCCAGGGATGCAAATTCATTTTTTTCATAAGTCTTTATACAGAGGAAAATGACATACTTGTCTCACATTCACATTGTCATATCAATTTGTTGAGACTTTTCTTCAACACAGCTGCAACAATTTTTTTATCTCTGTCTTTCAAAGTAATTTTGGCTGACTGGTTCACTGACCAAGCTGACATCAAGTTAGTATGCACAGTTGTGTGGTAATTTAAATTAATGTCTCATTTATATCTTTCTCCTTTCACCACCAATGTTGTCTCATTATTGTTGTCTGCCACAGTTTCATATGAGCTGCAATATAAACATGATTATAAATTGACAATCTCAATGATGCCATTTTTTCACATTCAAAAATTCATGCCTCTACATGGTAGCTCCACAAGTTAGAATGATGTATGTACTGTACATACAGCATCATGTAATGGTAGTGAATGTTCTATGTGACTTTAGGCAAGTTTATGGATGGGCAACCTTTAAGTGTGTATGCCAAAAAATCACCATATCTATGATGCAAGATTTTCTCATGTGCCAACCTAAACTTGTATTATTTGGTGTCTTAAAAGCATTGAGAGAATCTTTTCAAATAATCTAATCTAGAATATATACACACACACACGCACACACACACATGTATATACAGTATAACATTTGTCAATACAGTAATTATGTAACATGTAAATAAATGATATTTGAATATATCTTTATGTAAATATTTTTAGTTCTTTAGATCTTTTTAGATCTTTATGTAATGTGACAACAATATCATCAGTACAACATGATATATTCATGAAATTTTTATTTACAGAATACACAATATTAGATTGTATCTATAACATTGAAAATAAAACATATTATATTCTTGATGTTATGTGTTGGCGAGGCCATCCTGTTTTTGATAGTGAGGTGAGTTAATAGATCTATTTTACAATGATTGTATTTGTAACTAACTAATGAATTATTTTGATATTAAACTAGACAGAATTTAGGTTTTATTGGTTAAAATGTAAAACTGATGAAGTTCCTGAAATTCAAGTAAAATCTAATTTAAATCCTGTAAGTATAAATTTTAAATACAGATTATTATGAAGTGTAAAAATGTGAAAGTGATTTTTATAAATATTATTGTTATTTCAGTTTAGGTTCATTCCATTGCTTTCTTACTCCTGTTCTTATGATTCCATTCACAAAGTTGTAAATTCTCCATTACCATTTGAATGCCAGGTTAATATATTTTTAATAAATAAATATATGTATATATATGATATAGTGATGTTATGCCTAATAAAATATATTTATTTAATTTTATTGCAGCTAGATGGTTTACTGTTTTATCATAAGCAAACAATCTATACTGGTGGTGTAACACCATTAGTTGGGTGGCTGAAAGCATATATGTTACCAGAAATATTGAATATTTCTGTACCTGAACATTTATGTGCAGATAGGCCTAAATCATATTCTTCAATGAGAAATCATTTGTCAGTAGCTTTTGCTAAACATGAAAAGAGAAAAGAAGAAGAAAAATTATTAACTGAAATTGAGGTAAGTCTAAATTTGAAATTTAAAAATATATATTATTTTTTAATTTAAAATAATGCAATGAAAAATTCAACTATATCATAGTAATTTATGAATAAAGTCTTTTACTTATTTATAATATTCTACTGTAATTTGTTAAATGCTGGCATACAGGTTTCAACTTTGAAATTTTAAATATGTTCTATTTGGAAATTTTTGTAATTATGTTTTTCATATTGCAAAATTCATTATAAAATTGTATTGGGTTTTAAAAGTAAAATTTGGAAATTATAAAAAAAAAACTTTATTGACAATTAACTCAACAACGATTACAGTTCAGCCTGGTAGGTAATCACCATATCAATCATATCTTGAGGCTTTTGCTTTAAAAGGTAAAATTTAGATATTATAAAAAAAACTTTATTGACAATTAACTCAACAACGATTACAGTTCAGCCTAGTAGGTAATCACCTATCAATCATATCTTGAGACTTTTGTTGCAAACTTTCAATCTCATGAGCATAGAATGACTGTGACTTTTCTTTGAAGAATGCTGAGTGTCAGGTATTGTAATTAAACAAAAATTTTATCAGAATTTGTTAAACCAAACTGTGAATTTACAATTTGGTTTAACGAATTCTGGTAAAATTTTTGTTTTCCTTCACAACCTCCAAGAAATAACCCTATTTTCAATATTGTTTTCAAACACTCCAGTTGTTCACAGTAGAGTTCTTTCACAACAGTGATATTGGTTGGAAACAGTTCCATCATCATGATACCAAAAAAATGCAGATTGTTGCCTTCTCTCCAATATTGGCACTTTGACATTTGCAACAGTTGGTTGACTTTTGTTCACCCATGAATGCTTTAACAAACATTTTTTCCAGTCATTTCTAGAAATATATTGAAATGTCTAAATTTCATCTTTACAATGTGATATATGAATGGATTATGGATAGTTAATAATTAATCTAAAATTTACATGTGTATAATATATATGTATGCATGTGTGTGAGTTAGAAATTACAAAATTTGCAATATTTAGTAAATTAATTAATTTTTTTCACAAATACAACATATTTTAAAAATTCCAAGCCAGACCTTAATATTTCATTACATTTAATTGTTTTGTCAATTGTATAACATTAATTGCATATTGTAGATCAGCAATGGCAAACATTTTCTAAAAATCAAAATTGAATTCAAAATTTAATAACTCCAAATCATAGGTCAAAACATTTAATTTGCATAATTAAAATAAAATTGTAAGCATTTTTTGTTATTATTTTAACCTTTTAATTTGTATGACATTTTTATATGTTTATTTCATTTGTTTTTCAGGAGGATATGGTCACATAATCTAGCAGAAATAAAGAAAATGATGGCAACAATTAAAATTAAATATTCTTGTTAAATATTGTACAATTTATAAATTAATTTATAACTTGAAAAAGTTGAATTGTTTAAATTTTTTTATTCACCATTTCAAGTATGTTACATCATTATCTAAATTTTCAACTACCACAAACTGTTTTTTAAGTTAGATTTGAAAGGAAACTATGACTTAGCAATTCTTACATCTCAGTGGTATAACTTTCATCCTGTAAGGTTCTTGCTGAACCACTTTTCTACTTCAGAGATAATTTTTCTCAACACATTCAAACTTCTTCCATAAATTGCATCTTTCAAAGAACTGAAAAGATGGCAATCGAAGAGAATAAAATGGAGGAAGTAAGACAAAATCATGTGATAGTAATGTAGGTTTTGTGATGACTTCTAATCGACTCAAATTCAAATATCTATTTGGAAACTAAAGAAGCATTTTAAGCGGGTACATTTGCACAAAGATATGATGAAATATTTTATCATAGCAGTGAAAAGTCGCAAACAAACTTGCAAAAACTGCAGTAGCAGAAACTAAATGTTTTGAAATTTAGCTTGATAGGAAGGTATTTTCATCAAATTAATATTGTCAGAGACAAAATAATTAGTGTAAATGCCATTTAATATGCTAATTCAGTGTTTCCTAATCCATGTGCCACAACACTTGTGTGTTGCAGAAATATTAAATATTTTTAAATTTTGAATAAGCCCTTTTTTAAAATTTCGTTTATCTTTCATCTTTTTGCCACCAACCGGCTGAATGGAGAAGATATTCACTAAAATGCTGACTGTTGCAAAATTTGCATCAGCATATTCCCTCACAAAAGTTGCATGCATCTATGCTTATGCCAGCATGCTTAATCTTTGGAGCATCTATAAATGTTGCAGCTTATCAGCTTAAAGATTGATACTAACTCTTTATACATTGATTCAAATAATCTTTTTATTTTTATAGTATATCTGTAAACCCGTGAGCTTTTGTGTTGGTAAGTTTAATTTCCATATTATCAAAAAAATTTTTGAATCAACTGTAATTTACTTTAAAAATTATGTTGTTCTGCAGGAATCTTACTAAATTCAAAGTGTGTTGCTAATGGGAAGAGATTGGGAAACACTGTGCTAAATAATAAACTTTCACATTTTTCTCAATTTTTATTTAAAGTAAGCTTTCTTTAAAAGTTGTTATATGTGAAGAAAGGCACAGGAAAATGAAGTGTTAAAATAATTTATAGTTGTTATAAACATCAAGTCATTAACTGTAGGTAATATTTAAAAAAAAACATGTCTAAATGTTTTTTTTCCTTATAATGTAATTTCTTAATTTTGCAACGAAACAACTTTTTAACAAGTAGTCCAACTTGTTAAAAAGTTGTTCATTCCATTAAAATTACTTTTCACTTACAATAATTAGACATGATTGCTTGAAAAGTGAATCCAGTTAATTTTTTAAAATTTAATTTTTGTCTCACACAGACACATTTTTTGCCATAAAATATCATGAATCAAACTTCATTTCATAATTATCTCTAGATCAATAGTCATTGAAGAGTTTGGCCTCTTTGTGCTCTCTGAGTGGTAAGGGGCCTAAACCACAAAAAAAAAGTTACTGAAGAGTACTTGTTTTGGTAGCACATAACTTATACTAAAATTGAAATGATTAGAGATGTGCAAGGAATCTTGAAACAGCTCAATTTTACTTTATGACCATAAAGTAAAATGTGAGGACAAAGTCAGCCTACTGCTGTGGAGGACAATTCTGTGTAGGGAATGTCAAATTTTTCACAGTTTATTTGTCCTGCACATGTCAAGCTCTATTCTTTATCACTCGGTAAGTTGCTATCCTCCTAATTGGCATGAAAAAATATCCTCTTAGTACCCATAAAGCAGAATTTAATAAATTTGTGATTTTGTATTCCTATTAGAATTGGGTTTGAATTTAGTTTACAAGACTATTGCTATCAGCTTCTATATTTCTTTCCAGTAATTATCTGCCTCTACCATTATGGTAGTCGTGCTAACTCATAATTATTACCAGTAAGATTTAGACTGACTTTAAAGTTCATAAGATGCTGTAATTCTCTTAGAAGAATGAAATTTGTTGAATCTCTTGCTTCATATTACAGTACAAGTTTGAAAATGTTAGCAAACTTTTGTGATTTTCAAGCATGTGCTTACGGTGAAAAATAATTCAGTTACAAAGAAATAACATCTCATGAACAAAAGCTGTAGAAATATCCTCTTTAAGAAACTGTCAAACAAGTGTTCAATCATATCTGGTCCACTACTTACGGATGGAAGTCGTCAAAATAAAAAATCTTAATTTTTTTCTATAAAATGCAAGTGATTTCCAGAATAAATGTGTATTGTTTGTTAAGTTATGGCAATGCAACACTTGGGCAATTTGCCTAGGAGGATGCCTTCCAGGAGGTCTTTTTAAGGGTAACTGGTCCATATTTAGACATTATAGATGTAGAGAAAACCCAGAAAACTCCACGTAACCAGCCCATCCTGGCAAGGTGCAAACCCATGACTGAACTCCCTGTGTTCAGGGAACAGAATCGCTTGGCCACTGGTGGGCAAAATGCCTCTGCTTAGTTTGTTACAAAAACACTATTGTGATTTACTTGTTTTTTTCCCAACAGTGGCTATGGATAAAACCACCAAACACTTGTAATCATTCTTGAATTTCCACCCAACCAACAGTTAGCCTTGTGCTGTTTTCCAGGTTTTGTTTGTGCAGAACATCTAAGTAGGAATCAGTTTCCCATAGGACTTCCAATAGGCACCCTTGGCAAACTGCCTTATTCCATTAACCAGCCATCTTATTCTTCACATTCAAATCTTAACATTAGCTCCGAAATTCTGCTTATCCCCAAGCAATTTGGATTTTTGGACCTTAAATACAGTAATTAAAACTAGCAAATTTCATTCGGGAAGGGATTCTTGTACTGTACACTCAATTGTGATGTCTTGCAATGAAACATCATCAATTGTTTAGGGGAATAATTGGCAGTTTCTTAACTTATTTATATGCAGGATTATTTATGTTAGAGACGTTAAGACATAGATCGTCATTAAAATGACAACTGGATGGCCGAAGAAATCAAAACGTAGGTCCCCCTTTCTGACGGATCTCGATTTGAGTCCAAATCTGATTCACAGGGTTGCCAGATATTTTATGTGGATAAGTCAGGCGCATCCAATGATGGGCATGTGAAAAGATAGTCTAGTTGGTCACGATTGCTCTTTAATGTTTCTAATATACGATTGCTCTTACATCTTTCTGAAATTGAAAGAAAAATTTCAGTAACGAGTTTGCTTAACTTTTCCGGTAACATTTTGTGGCGCCATATGTTAGGAATGACTTTTTAAATAAAATGTTATTTTTAACCATTATAAAATAGCAAAGCTTAATTTTGAGAATAAGGGTGGGCAATAGCATCAATCCCATAATAAACAAACCTCCCTGCAAAATTTCAGAAATTTTCGACAAAAAGCACGGGAATTATTAAGTTTCAAAGGAAGTGAATAAAATCGTTCCCCAAAACATCCATATATACAGAAAAAAACCCGAATTTTTTTCAATTTCTCGACGTTTCAAGGTGTCCCGAGTCCAAAAATAAAAATCTTGGGGGTCATTTTTTGACCGATCACCATACTTTCCCTCATATATAACAACCAGGAAAGTAAAAATTAGAAGGCGCACTGAGTACGTTTTGAAAATGGGGGATTGTCAAGAGTACGCGTGACGTGATCTAAATACTCGCAACTAGATTGTTCATTGTCTCGCAGGTAGGACTATATTATCATTAGAATGCATCTTTAAGACTAAGCGCTGTCGACTGACGTTTACAACCATTCCTAAGTATTCATAGTACTGGGAAAGGAGGGCCGGATGGCCGAGCAGTTAAGGTTTGTCACCTTAACTGCTCGGCCCTACCATTCTGGGGGACCTGGGATCAAATCCGAACTGGATCGAAAAATCCCCAGGAATTTTCCGGGGGGGTGGTCCGTTCGGNCTTGCAATGAAACATCATCAATTGTTTAGGGGAATAATTGGCAGTTTCTTAACTTATTTATATGCAGGATTATTTATGTTAGAGACGTTAAGACATAGATCGTCATTAAAATGACAACTGGATGGCCGAAGAAATCAAAACGTAGGTCCCCCTTTCTGACGGATCTCGATTTGAGTCCAAATCTGATTCACAGGGTTGCCAGATATTTTATGTGGATAAGTCAGGCGCATCCAATGATGGGCATGTGAAAAGATAGTCTAGTTGGTCACGATTGCTCTTTAATGTTTCTAATATACGATTGCTCTTACATCTTTCTGAAATTGAAAGAAAAATTTCAGTAACGAGTTTGCTTAACTTTTCCGGCAACATTTTGTGGCGCCATATGTTAGGAATGACTTTTTAAATAAAATGTTATTTTTAACCATTATAAAATAGCAAAGCTTAATTTTGAGAATAAGGGTGGGCAATAGCATCAATCCCATAATAAACAAACCTCCCTGCAAAATTTCAGAAATTTTCGACAAAAAGCACGGGAATTATTAAGTTTCAAAGGAAGTGAATAAAATCGTTCCCCAAAACATCCATATATACAGAAAAAAACCCGAATTTTTTTCAATTTCTCGACGTTTCAAGGTGTCCCGAGTCCAAAAATAAAAATCTTGGGGGTCATTTTTTGACCGATCACCATACTTTCCCTCATATATAACAACCAGGAAAGTAAAAATTAGAAGGCGCACTGAGTACGTTTTGAAAATGGGGGATTGTCAAGAGTACGCGTGACGTGATCTAAATACTCGCAACTAGATTGTTCATTGTCTCGCAGGTAGGACTATATTATCATTAGAATGCATCTTTAAGACTAAGCGCTGTCGACTGACGTTTACAACCATTCCTAAGTATTCATAGTACTGGGAAAGGAGGGCCGGATGGCCGAGCAGTTAAGGTTTGTCACCTTAACTGCTCGGCCCTACCATTCTGGGGGACCTGGGATCAAATCCGAACTGGATCGAAAAATCCCCAGGAATTTTCCGGGGGGGGTGGTCCG